TGGTTTATCTTCTGCTTCACCATCCTCTTCTCCTCTATCAGCTTCCATATATCCATTGAGATCCATTCCTTGTCTTCGTCCTTCTTCCTTCTTAATACGGCTGTGCAGGTTTCTTCCCACATCTCTTTCAAAGACTTCCAGTGTTCTTCCACACAGGTTTCTTCAGTGATGTTCCTCGATATCTCCCATTTTGTCTTGATGGCTGCCGTGAAGATTTCCTTTGTAGTTTCATCCTTCAGTTTCCGAGTGTTGTACTTGAATTGAGGTCTATCATCAGCTTTCTTGAAGGCTTTCAACTTGATTTGGAAGGTTCCTTGCACTAGATAGTGACATGTCTGAACCTACATCTGCTCCTCTTCTTGACCTTGTGTCAAGTAGACTGCGTCTCCATTTTCTTGAGATTGAGATCAAGTCGACCTGATTTTTAATGTGTCCATCTAGTGTCTGGCGAAATCCATGTCGCTGACTTGTGTATATCTTTGTGCTTGAACACAGTGCCTCGCCTTCAATCACCAGGTCGTTGAATGCGCAGAATTCTGCAAACAATTCTCCATTCTCGTTCATTTCACCAAGTGCTTTTCGACCCATGGTTAGTTCTCTTCCTGTGTTGTCCCCTTCCAGTTTGGCATTCATGTCGCCCATCAGAGTTTTGAAATCGCCAACTGCGGTGAGGTCTTATCCAGTGTTGATTGTAGTTGTCTGTAGAATTCCTCCTTTTTCTCTTGCTCTGCGTTATTTATAGGTGCGTAGCATTGTATGATTGTGACCTTCCTTCCTTCCTCTTGAGTTAAACCTTGCTGTCATGATCCGGATCCTGCAGGGGAAGAGTGGTTCCTTCGATGCTCTTGGGGACATCATGATAGCCACTCCAACACCCAGTGTGCTCGTGGCTGTCGTCTGGGTGACAATATCGGAGTAGATTATTGATTCTCCAGTTGACAGTTTGGAGAGTCCACTCCCATTCCATCTGCTTTCGCAAATCCCAAGCACTTCAATGTGATACCTTCTCATCTCGTTTGCAATCTGGGCTGCCTTACTGGGTTCAAACATCGTACGGACATTCCATGTCCCCACGTTTACTTTCACTTTAATCGAGAGAAGACACATGGGCCAATTGGCTTCATGAAGGCTTTCACCAACTGGCGTCATTTCGCCTCTCCGATTCCAGCGGGGAATAAGTTTGTTTTCATTTTTTATATTTTGTTTGTACTTTGAAGTTTCTGTAGCGGTTGGATTTGTTTTACGGGGTAGGGTTGCTAGCTTTATGCCCAAACTTCCCTCTTTACCCGGGCTTAGGACCGGCTAGTAACTAGTGAACTAGTTAAGCAGACGAGGTTAGTGGTGACTACTTAGGGATTATTTATTGAAAATTATGATATGCTGAATGGAGTTTATTGATTTTGTCCACATATTTACTCCTTAGGGAATGTTTCGACATAACTCGAAGAACACTTATGTTATAAATTGATTCGTAGTGGCTAACAGTGAAATCTAGGACGTTCCATAATCCATTCTGAGATTCATCATCTCTATGTACCTGTATGCCCGTTGGTGATGGGATCCTAAATCAGAGCCAAACCCTTCTCATGTCAATTTAAATGCTGGAGCGTTATCCATCAAGTTACTGAGTTACAACACCTATCTCATGCTGTAGGTTTCAGTTGTTGGGAAAACACTGTCACTGACCGGGATGCATATATATCCGGCTGATCAGCACAAAATACGAGGAAGCGAGAGTCCTTGATTCTGTTGTTAGTCCCTAAACAAGTTACAACATGGCGAGCCTTGATACCATATTGAGACATCCAATCAGAAGTTCATGTGTCAAAAGAGATTGATCGGTTTGATTCCTTATCAATAGACATTTTGTTAGTTTTTACCAGATTTGGAGCTGATTTAGTGAAGTTACTGGCGATAGTTCACTAAATAGCTTTGTAGAAGCTATTCTGCTGAACTCAATACCTCTTTATGATTTCTGAGACAGAGTTCCTACGAAGGACAATATTTTCCGAGAGGCGAAAAGTACATTTTGTTCAGTTCGCATTCGAATTGTTTGACAATTTAGTTGTTTGATGGAAGACAGTTGTGTTAGTTATTGCTCATGTGTCATTTTTCAAGGGGTTTTTTCCAAGTTTATTTTGTCTCATTCTTATTTTCGTAAGGCATAGAGATAAAGTTTGCCTGACATTATCGATGAAATTTTCATACTAAATGAATGATCATTAAAGTTAACCGTTGCATTTAATGCGAATTTCTATCTTATATAAAAGTAACTTAACAGAAAGCAACCAACAAGTTATTATAACTCATAAAATACTCAGTATAAGTATTGAATTTCAGATACTTAATGAAACTGTTTACTTTCATCGAATGATCAAAATTAAATGGTATTGCTAACTTAAAAATATTCTTTGCAACAGACTTCTACTACTTCCATAAATATGTAACCTGTAATAATGAATGGAGCTTCAACTGAAAAAATTTCGATTTTGACAAACATTAACTCTACACGACACATGTAATTCAGATTTCCTCAAAATGAAAAAAAATTCATTCTCTAAGAGGCTCATGGTTTTTGGACTGGCAGTGTTTGAATGTTGTGATGTATTTATTAACTGTTAATTTTTTTAATCAATATATCATCGTGATCTTACTTCTTGTGACTTTTAGACATGTACATGTATTATAAATATATTGCAACTTGTCTTTTATTTTACGAGTTGATAAATGACTTACTTCATTGACAGAATATTAAATGACTTCAGTCTCCAGTTTTCATTCTGGATAGTGATATACTAGTCAAGTTGTACAATAGCACTACTAAGTCAGGAAACCTAATACTGCATTTTTTATTGAACAGATGAATTTATTTGATGGCATTTCCACAGAAAGAGTTCAAACACTAGTATTTCTCAATCAAAAGACTCACAACTAATTATTGGTATCAAGGCAACATAAGTGTAGGACTTTTAGCTCTTCAGCATAGGAAACTGCGTTTCAGTCTTTTGAGAAACATATCAATGCAATTATAATCAATTCATTAGTTGATAACAATAATCCTGTTGTTTTATTTCCATTTATTGATGTTACTTATTAACAAGGTAATATAGAATGTAGTTCATTTCACTTTCGATGAAATATACAGTCTTGTTAACCAAAATTAGTGACCACCGAGTTTATGAATGTGCACATAATTTCTATAAAATTTATGCCTTAAAATATTTACTTCTTAGATATAGACTACTATTTAGAGAAGGCATATCCATTTGCACTTATGGTTATCCATGATACAAATAAAAACCTATCAAACTTGATTGTCATTGTCACTTAGGAAATAGGATTTCAATGACTATCGTATTCTTACTCAGTCAGTATACTAGTAAACATATTATGAATTTTTATACAGTGAATTTAATATGTTTAAGAATATACCAATTATAAGCACCTAAGAATTGTACACTTCACGCCAATTTGCCGATGGATTACTTGATTTTCGCAGCCGAAGAATTATTTTTTTTACGCTTAAAGTAACCTCTAAATATAGAACCAATTTCTTTTCAATAAAAAATTCCTTCTCATTGGTACTTTTGTTATGATACTAGATCAGGTAAAATATAGTCAGTGTTTTTACTAGCTAGCTTGGTAGATATAGGACATACTAGACTGTAAAGTGGGCTGTTATTATAGTTCAGCCTGTGTAAATATATTACCAAGTCGGATGGAGTCTTACATTTAGACCTTATAGCAAGATCAACCAGGTATGAATACATTTCTCAAAAGAATTATGTTAAGAAGTTGTAGTATTTTTTGTCCTCAACAAATGAAATATTATTATTCTTAAGTTGCCCTATCACTTTCATAAAGCGTCAACGAATACCGATTACTTCTTGAACTAGAAAGTAGTTGTACCACAGTAACTGAACACTGAAACTAGTGTTGATTATTCTCTGAAAACCAAGTTGAAAGTAATAATTCAGCCCACTTCTATCGTTCAGCATGTAAAATTTAAAATTTTCTGTTAAATAACCAGCTGTCAAGTACATTTACTTATCGTTTTGAGTTGACACTTTCAAATTTTGGTTTGTTCATAATGGCATCACATCATCATATCTTATTTATGTAAAGTCCTTGAAATATTTGAAATCTTTCGATTAGGTCTTTCAGATGGCTAAATTATTGTATCACAACTCGTTAGTTATACAGCCCACCTGGTTTGAAGACTGCAACTAACACTTTACATCTAGGGCCTAATAGATATAACCGATTTGTCTACTTAACCAAGTTCGTTATCTGGATAGCCTAGATGCTAAGTTTCTAACCAGAAAATCCCTGACAGGAGATATACCTTGGTGCTGAGCGATAACAAGCATGAAACCTAAAGAATTTTTTGTTGCAATTTCTGATCTATATTTTTAAGAAACTTTACTATTATTGTTTGTAATCATATGGTATATTGCAGTCACCTGATAAAGTAACTTAGTCTCATACTGAAGTAATTACATTTGAGAGCAGGAAGGGAACAAATTATGTATTACACTGCCAAAGCAGATTCCAAAGAAGAACAGTCTAAAACATTTGATGTTTCGGCTATTCCCAAAATCGAATTCCAGAAGGTAATCCCTCTTACTAAATTGACATCAAATTTACTTCCTAGTGATGAAAATAATTCTAGTTATTGAGTAATACATATTTTTAAGAAAAGTAGTTGCATTTTCATGCAACTGGAACGTATTGTATTTAGAAGAATACCTTTTATTCTTATAGAATGTCACTTTTAGCATGTTTGTTTATATGCATAACATGTGACCAATCAGCAAACATAGGCTGATAAAATTCCCATAGGCAAATCACTTTCAAGAATTTTCAGCGTATAATATACAATTCTGACTATCGCGTATAATGTCATAATCTTTGATTATTCAATGTGAATTCTCTTTTTAGTTGTTAATTGTCGAGAAATATTATTTTATTGCATTAGGTGAAATGTCTAGTGTAAAAGGATGTTTAACACACCTTACAAAAGAGGAGATTATGGTGTACAATTTTCGTGCTTATGTATCACCAGCACTAGTCATCATTGGTATCCCATCAAATTTTTGGTTGCACTTGTTTTCGCTGTAATTGAACGTAGAAACAGTTGCCGATTTAATCTTTATGCTATTTGGATGGCTGTAGCACATAATATGCAATTAATTGTTAATACATTGATAGATGACTTTCTAGGCCGTGGATTGAAATATGCAACACAGTGTAAGCATTCAATACAAGTAGATATACAATCGTCTTTCATATGTAAAACTTTAACTTATTTGACTGACGCTTCAGCGTTAATAGCTGCTTTCATTTTAATGTTATTTAGTGTTGATCGTGTTTGTTCAATATACAATCCAAAACATTTTGAACAAAGTTCACATATGAAACTAGCACACATCATTATTGCTTTTGTCTCATTTATCTGTTTAATTTTGAATATACCGCATTTAATATTTGCTGACTTAAAGATCCATCCTACAACTAATAGTCGTGAATGTCAGTATATTAATCCTGTTGCTGGAGGTGTAAAATATGTTCTCTACTTGTACATTGTAGGTGTTGCTATACTACCTGCTGTGTTTATTTTCATTACTAATTTACTAATATTGTACAAGTTGAGTACAGCTGTTTATCGATCAAAGCTAATTGGTGCAAAAGACGACGAATCAAAAAATGAAATGGGAAAAGTGGTAGCTCATTTAGCTATCAGCATACTGTTTACATGTTTATCTATTCCACTGGTTGTAATGATCATTCTAAGACAAGAGGTACACTTCTATAAATATGATATATTATATCCAGATTATGCTAAACAAATTGTTCAATATTCAAAATTATTCAGTTCTGTCGATTCTTTTAATCATGCATTTGATTTCTTCTTGTATCTGGCATTTATGCCGACATTTCGACATACTTTATGGGAAATACTGACATGTGGGACATGTTGTCGACGTAAACAGCATGGTAATCTTAATCAACAATTAATGGAACTGCAAAACCGACCAACATTGGAGCAGAAAACTAGTTTGTCAATTCTTGACGATGAAACAACATCACTTTACTCGAACAAACATATTTTACCTGAGATTATTTATGTAAACGCAAATGGTTTATATCATAACTCTGATCATATACCATTTATTGATCAGTATACCAACTACTCACCAGAACATTACATTTTAACACGATCATGAATTAAGGTATTGTAATTCTGTATTTATTTTTTTATGGTATACCACGTTACATAAAATCACATTCGATAGTATTCTCCTGAAAAAATGTGGAGATATATACATATTTACCTGGTTACATACAGTGGTATGACTTCGTTAACATTCCTGACTACATAAAGATAGGTATACAATTAAAAACAAACAATTACAGACAAAAATTTTATTGTTAAACAGTAATTACTCTTCATAATGAAGGGTATCTTAAGGAAATGCTTTTCAATTCTATTTCAAACGTACAAAACCACTTTTATGAAACAAAATTGAAGATATACAGCCGATTAGTGTCGGTGAAACCACCCTTTATAAGAACTTTCTAAAATGAATCTTTTTTAATATCACACAGGGAATTTTGAAAAAAAATGTTCATATATTCATCTATGTTCCCAAGTATATGGAATTGTAATGATCATAGTAAAGAGTAGTAGACACAAATGTAGGCAATACGCCAGTTCGAACAAATGAAATGCAATTTACATTGAAATTTTTTATTTGAAATGCACTCATCTTGATAGTCCATTTTAATTCTTTTATTTCTTACCAACGACTGTTTTAAAATAAAAATTACAAGAGAATGAACTGATTCTCTGAAAACAAATTCATGAAAACTTAGTTATTGGAACTAATTTAAATTATTTAATGTAAGTGAAATGTTTTTAAAGTAGTAAATAAAAAAAAATTCAAGTCTGCTGGTTATTAAAGCATATTTTCTATTTTGAAAAACCCAGAAAATGAAGATTTTATGCTATAAAAGTGAGTTTTTTTGAATACAACCATTTGCAATGTTATCCTTTTGATTCTGAGATGTTCAGTGTTCAAGTTATTTTCTGAGGATGTTTTGAACTTTAAAATCGAAATAAATGCTTGTCTGTGAATAAATTTCCTACAAATAGGTGGTACACCAACAACATCATAAGACTGACTGACTCTAGTGGTGGTTTTGAAGGATCAGCTACTTTTGATGAAATAAGCTTGAAAAGAATAAAATTCAAGAACGTGAAAATCCAATATACTGGTAGGGCATGTGAATGGCTTAAGTTCACGCATATATTGTCTATAGCTGCATACATGAGAATAGATAATTATCTTGTATTTAGAAATACTGTAGTCTTTTTATATATAAGACTATGTTATTCCACTAAATTTTCTGCTGAGACCATATTCTTTTATGCACAGTCGTTCCAGGCATTTAAGTGACTATTCATTCAAGTGGTTAATAGGAAGTTGAACCATTTCTCGGTAATTTTACTCTCTGGTTGGCACCAAATGAATAATGCCAGGGAAAAAGCGCAGAAAACTGTGAACAGCCGTTGCTGTGGTGAGGACTGCAAATAACAGACAACTGTGAGCGAAGTAACCTGGAGTTCCTCAGTGATATCGTCAAAATGCACGTTCACCGAAAGTCTATATTTATCAACTCCAGTAAATTTGTGTAACGGTTTTATGTTCTTTCACTTTGTCAGAAATATGTGTTTGCATTCATCAAATACACTCAAATATAAGCAGACAGCATGAAACAGTTCATTGTACAAAAGCTTATCCATTCCAGCCAGCAAGTTTATAATAAAAGGAAGAGACAGTAACTAGAAAGGAAATGAAAATATGTGGAACATTTAGTACATGAAAAGCGGCATAAATAGAGATAATAGAATTTTCAAGATAGAAAATAAGGAGAGAAAACACCTATATCATTTAAAGCGTAATTTGAATTAGCTGAAGAAGCAAACCACTCAGACATCTGCTTTCGAAATGAAACTCGTTTGTGTTGGTACGCAGCTGCACCTTTTTTCAGTTATGCATTTAAATTAGTTGAAAACTTCAAGCCGAAGTTTTAACAAATTGACTGGCGGTTGCATAAAATTGAAACTCATGCTAAATTTGGTAATCTTCAAAAGATACGATTACTCCAGATGTTTGAAATAAGTTTAAGAGAAAGACGATAGGCTCGATGAAATTTAAAAATTATCTTCAAAACAGGATAATGTCTTATGCATACTTATCAACTCTTTATAGAGTTTTTTCCAATGAAATTTGGAGAGTTTACGGTATTTTTCAGTCAACTAATCAAAAATATGACACACATATCAATAAACGTGAAGCATTTCAACCTAAGCCCTCAAAATGAGATTGTTTTTTTGAAAATATTGGTCATTAAACAACTTGTCAAATGATCAGAATAGATAAAGAAGTCGTTATGAAAACTAATCTCTACAGTATCTAAGTGCAAAACTAGTATGGGAATACAAACAAGCTCTGTTGAAAATTGAGTTGAACACTTTTACTTGTCATTACTGAGGATTGTTCACATAAGAGTTGACAAATCAGGATAGTCTGTCATGCTTCTCAGGTAGGGTAAATAGGTTTTATTTTTTTTTAAAAAGAGCCCCTTGAATATTAGAGAAAAAATCTGCTCATTTACCCATGAAAGCTAGGATAAACAATGTTTCATGAGATAGGAAACCAGACAACTATCCGAACGAAATAACTATGAACAGATTTTATTATTGGTAGTCTGTGACATAATAGACTTCAACCTTAAGGATCATGTTTTGCATACAAAAAACTGGTAGACGAATTTCACATATTCCGTCTGCGATCTTGAATAAAATTGCTTCAAAGTTTCAGAAAGATTACACAAATAATGTGCATAGCGTGGAACATAAAGAGTTACATAAACCCTCAGTATGATTAGCTGAGAAAGCTGTGGTTTGGCACACACACATATTCTGATACTTCGTGAAAACTGAATGTGAAATGAAAGTCTTGGTCACAGCAGGGTTGTACGAAATGTTTGTCACTCACATGCTTCCGGTTTCCAGGAATTTTCTACAAGTAGCCACGGGAAAAATCTTTTTTTCAGGATGGCAGTTAAGCTAGACTAATGTACCCAGTGAAATAAGTTATAAAGAAATCCCATTCGCTTGTGATGGATCTATGATGAGAAGTTTTTATTGCGAAACTCACTGATTATTTCAATGATAAGGCAGTAGGCATAATGAATAAGAGTTTCGATACATATACTTTCCGGAATGACTCAACTTTTCACCTGAAATGAGACGTAGTGTTCTATGCTTAAATATTAGGGTTGGGGGTTCTTTGTTTAATGTGATGCCGGTTCACAGACACCTGCCAGAAGCTGTTTGGATAATAACGTGTTATGGAAAAACGAGATTTCTGCATATACTTCATGACAAAGAATTAAATGTTTGAGTAAACAATTCATGATGCAGAAAATTCATGTATTGATCTGTGGTTAGTGTTTTCACATTCAATGATATCCTGAAGATTTCGTCTCTTTGTGTCGGACCAACCGTACACACAAATATTGCTCGTATCTTTTCTTTAAAAGCATTGGTTGACAAAATTTTATCATGGAGCTGCTTTTAGTATAAACTTACAAAGTGATACAGATATATCAATAATCAAGCGAATTGCCCAAGGTGACTAAAGGCTTAATTGTTGTACTAGATAAATAATACAACAGTTGCATTTTGAAGTTTCAGTCTGAAGAACAAGAAGCTCCTCAGCCATCATTGTAGATAGATGAAACACTCTTGTTGCATGATATACGAAATGTATTGTTACAAAATTGAATTGATGTCTTAAGACTTCGTAAAATATGTTTTGTATAAACGTTATGAGAGTTATAAAGTTTATTAAAGTGTCTAGTCTTTAATTAATCAATTCATAAACTAGGTCGTTTAAGTAGTTGTGTATAGAAAGAATTCAGCCAAATAAGTTAAGCCTGAGAGATCAGTTATTGTAATGTTTAGAAATATTCCTCAAAGTGAAAATGAAAATTGACACACTGTCAATTAGTTCCATGAACCTATATATGATGCTGAGTATATATTCAGCCGAAAAGTAACAATACTGAAGGGGATAAAGCTGAAAACTATGAAAACGACATCTAATAGGATTTGGTTTTTAGATACCTATTACGTATTAACTGACCTGATAGCCAACTTAGGATTTTATTGGGATAAGCATCTTTTTGTCATTAGATTTTGAAGTGTGGTTATTGTGAGTGGCTAATTTATCGTGACATTCACTACTTTTTTCTTTCATCCCTTATTCCCTTTCGAATAAAAGATAATTTTTGTGATTTTACAGTTTGAAGGAAATCTTCCATAAGTTCTATAACCTGTCAAGATCCTTTGAAATCAATCAACTGAGTGCTTATATGCATCCATATTTTTACCATACACAGGAAAGTGATAAAAATTTTTTCTATATCTGGACTGAATTAATAAATAAGACAGGAAATGGGAACAGACAGCCCATAATAAGAGGCATTTATCTGTTACCTGATCTCCAGAAAGTTTTATTTCTGAAATCGGTTTTCCAGACAAGTTTCAATGATTCGCCTGTTTGTTAAAAACTTTCTGTAATCAATGACACAAAATATGAATATTTATAATAGACCCAGCGAAAAGAAACTTGACAAGTTTGGAAATCTAGAAACAAGCATTTTAGAAAATGCTTCTTTTTTACTGGACTAGCCACAATGATCGTGAAACATTTTGAATGGAACTAGGTACATAACTTTCCAAAAATAATCATGTAAAGGTTTTTACATGAAAGCAAATTTTTAAGGCAACCAAATTCAACTAGGCTCCTGAAGAAGACATCGAGCGGCATGAAAGCCTGAGTCATTTTAATTTTATTACTTCTAATCTGTATAAAGTGTTTATAAAGTTGTTTAAGCACTGAGACAAGTGAAAGAAATGTTTACATAATATCAGTTATTTGTTAAGGGGTTGATCACTTACTAATTGCTATTAAGATATGATTCAGTAATCATTTATTATATGACAAACCTAATTTTTTCGAAGCCACAAACACTTTTGACAGTTTTATGTCAATATGAATGATAGTCTACCTGGTGAAAACTTTGTCGTTTAGTTTATTTCGGAAGTGGGGAAGATGTAAAGTGAAGTAAATACATGCATGATTTTGAGTGA